ATATGTGATAAAATTTTTTTAAAAAAATTATGTAACTTGGTTGATCTTAGATAGTGGGCTTTAAATTTTATTGGATGATAGATCAGAATGTTACACAATATGTTCTAATATTAGCGTAACGTTTCGCATTACAAAAATGATTAACAGCCACGGATGAGATTAAAACCATCAAAGTAATTAGAGGTATGTTTAAATATTTTAAGTTTAGCCCATAGGTACGTACGTACAATAAATCAATTAAACTCGGCAATTTATTCAATTTATGGTATCTTTTATTTGTGAAATTTTATTCTTTGTAATCACAACTAATAAAGAAACTTGACTATAATATAGGTTAAGAATATGAAGTTGAGAGTCGTAAAGCTTATAGATTTTGTGAAGAGAGTTAAAGCGAAGTAGTGGCAATGTAACCGTACAACAATTATTAAATAAAATTAAAGACAAGTCTGATATTAGAGGAGACTAAAAGTATTTTTTTTTTATTAGTTATTAGTGTTTTATAATGGGTTTAAACATTATGTTAGTATTTTTCGTTCTTTTTTTTTTTTTTGACTCGTAGTACTTTAGGATCTTTTCTTTAATAAAATTTTGGTTTTTCAGAATTTGGTTTGTGACAAGATTATAGTTTTAAGTTAAAATCATCGAGATTTCATGATAAAGACTTCTACTAGTATCAATTTATTCACAGATGTTTTATAAATATTAGTTTTTTTATTCTGACGAAAAATTACGATAAATTTCGATTAACCAATAAAATTTTTACGATATCACTGGCCAATCACAATGAAAGCTGAAAGCTCAAATCATATGAATGCTATAAAGTATACGAACATCTTTTTCTTACCTGCTAGTCCATTTGTACATTGTAATTTTGTTTTTTTAATTAAGCAACTCGTTTAACACAACTATCCATCTGTGTAAAAAAAAAAAAAAAAAAAAAAATCTATATCCTTCATTGTCGGTGACCCTTGGTTTAGAAACCCTTTTACGTTAGTGACATCAAGCAAATCAAAAGAACTGCCAGAAAAACTATACACATTAATAACAAGACGACAAGAGCTTTTGTAACATATATACATGGGTGTCGAAATTATGGATGATTTACGGCAAACAATATGGCGAATGTTTTTAATATTTTCGCTACTGCACTCCAAAATGACGTATTACGAAATTATTTTCGTCTGTCGAAATTATTATTGACTATCGAATTGTCAAAATGATTATGCCAGTCGTTATTAGGATCGTGAAATGTAAAATTCAGAAATAATCCGAAAGAAAATGAATGAACACAAAAGACGAGCAAGGACATCCATTTCCCGGATAACTTATTATAACGTAACGTTTCACTAATAAAAAATACAATCTTTTTTTTTTTTTTTTAACCATTATATTCGCAAGTGCGTGAATATTCACGGTACAAAATAATAGATAAAAGATCGAAAACCTGAAAAACTTTGCTTGGAAAACAAAATATACCTACCGCTTATTGGATTATACTATAACTAGAAACGTTTTTGTCTAAAGCTATTTTATTATGCTAAATTTTTACTGCTAACTGTTTAATCTGAATAGGTACAAGATTTTTAGTAGTAGAAGGTCTGGGTTAATGTTTAAATTTGGTCGGTTCTTATAATGTGTTTGCGTTTGTCAATTGTAAAAAGTTCTTTAATGAGTTTGAGTTTATTAGTAATAAATATAACATTTACCCACTTTACGCGTGTCTATCTATTCTTTAGTTATATGTGATAAATTTTTTAACGTATATTTATCAGTTTATAAGCTTTTTTATATCTGATATGAGGTTTTTTTAGTTTTCTAGTATATAGCGATAAAATTTTATTTTGATTGGTTAATTATCACGGGAAATCAACTGTAAATCTACAAAAAATGGCTACGTATTTTCGACATACACGATACAGAAATATTTTCGGCATACTAAAGTACTTTCGACATATTAAATTATTTGCGATTTTGACTGTCAAAAATTATTTTCGTCATTTAAATTTACGCCAAGAGCAAAATATTTTCGATACCCAGGTATAGTAACATAGCATAGTACTGTAAAAAAAACACAAAAATTATAATATAACACACAAATGGCCAATAATCTTGCAAATCAACAATCTCACCACCATCTCAAGTGAGTTTAACTTTTTTTCCCTCCTCTTCCCTTGTATTTTATGACATAAAAGTTTACTCTATGTAAATGAACTTATTGAAAATCAAGTGTTCTTTCAAATTAAATATGTGCTATATTTGATCAATCCTTTTCATCTCTTTTTTAGTCACGAAAATGATAATTGGAAAAAAAATCTACGGTTACCACCAAAAGATAACCGACCACAAACAGAGGTAAGTTCACATTGATTGTTTTTATACAATATATTACTTTATATTTATTGATATTTCCATTCAAAATAGGATGTAACCAACACAAAGGGTAATGAATTCGAGGACTATTTTCTTAAACGCGAGCTTTTAATGGGTATATTTGAAGCTGGATTTGAACGCCCGTCACCCATTCAGGAGGAATCGATACCCATCGCCCTAACCGGTCGTGATATTCTCGCAAGGGCCAAAAATGGTACAGGAAAAACGGCGGCTTTTGTTATTCCTGCCTTAGAGAAAATTAATGTTAAAAAACAGAAAATTCAGGCACTATTGCTCGTCCCAACTAGAGAATTAGCCTTGCAAACATCGCAAGTTTGCAAAACC